AAAAAGTCAAAGAATATTGTTTCACATGCTGGTATATTTTTGTAGATTTAGAAGATGAGAGCATTTACAGGGATCTAAAGAAACCCATAGGAGCATTAAATGAGGAGAGGATCCAAAAAATGAGGGTATATGGCTATTTATCTCATACTATGTATGATGTTCCCTGTCAATCATATGAAATTATGTTATATTTGTACCCTAGTTGTTTGTTTTAGGAGAGATATCAAGAGATGCCAGACCCTAAATTCCTGTATGGTTCTCACTACTCAACCCCTGGTTATGTTCTCTTCTATTTGGCAAGAATAGGTAATTATATAGGAATACCCGGTAATTGTAAAACAGTCAATTTGAAAGTAGTTGTATATTAATTTTCTGGGGTTTCCTCCCAAATATATAGGAAATTTCTATAAGGGCTTTGAGTAAAAAATGCATTTATGGATGATGAAATTTCTTTACTTTTAGCTCCTGAGTATGTGCTGTGCTTGCAAAATGGAAAATTTGATAAGCCTGACAGGATGTTTAACAGGTGAGTTGTAGTAAAATCATATGATGGCTATCTTTATTATATACCTAATGTGTATCGATCACTTTTACTGTAGATTTAACGCAATCATGTGACGTCATGATCCATATTTCCGGATCACCACACTGTGGTTTTCTGAATCCATATCACCACGCTCTGAAACTGATAACGTAGTATGCAGAAATATGACGTTATTTTTCTTGCGCGTTAAAAAGTCCCTTGTTTTTATGCTTTGTTTAATGGATTAATATTATACATTTGATCTCTAGAGGTTTATTTTAATATATTTAGCCAGTTGTGAGGGGGTATATAATAAATTTATCATTATAACAGTAACTTGATCCAAAGAGCCGTATCACATCTCGTTGACAGGCGTGGATCATCAGATCAAACGAGACACGAAGCGTCGAGTTTGATCTGATGATCCACGCCTGTCAATATATGAATATTTAATATATATGAACTTGTTCTGTTTAGATTAGTCCTATTCTATATGATGACTTTACATGTATATGGATTATTTTAGTCTGGATGACACCTGGGCTAATTGTCTGGAAGGGGCAGCTGACTTTAAGGAATTAATTCCAGAGTTTTTTGATGGGAATGGAGAATTTCTTCTCAATAAAGGGGTAATATTAAAGATGTCTATTTTTTGCATAAATTTCATTTTAAAGTGTTGAGATGAAACATAAAATGATTACTTTCTGTATCAATTTATATACTGAGAGTCATTTATTTAAACTTCAATGTTACATATACATATTAACATGAAATTCTGCAACACATAATTTATCTTTACGAATAAGTATTTTTTTAGTTTTGAGTACATGTATTTTTTTTTATTTGGAATCAATATTTGTGTAGATATATATTATATTAAGGCTTAATCAGTAGATGTTCCTTATTTCTAGGTCAGTAACTTTGGTATAAGACAAGATGGCCGACCTGTTGGTGATGTAGAACTTCCACCGTGGGCTAAAGGTCAGATTTATAAAACAAAATCATTTTCCCATTGGGATAGAAACTTAACTTGTTTATATTTAACAGTTGTGAACTACTGCTGAAAAGGGGAAAATTTGTAAAAAGATAGATTCATAAAATTAAGTGCATATTATCCTACTTTAGACCATCATGATTTTATTGACAAAATGAGGGCAGCCCTGGAGAGTGATTATGCCTCAGAACACCTACATAATTGGATAGATCTTATATTTGGATACAAACAGATAGGAGAAGAGGCAGAAAAAGCTGATAATGGTATGAAGGAACAGTACAGTAAAACTCGTTTAGTACATGTACAAACACGAATATTGTGAATTCAAGGATATAGGGAAGTTATCTTGGATCCCCATCTATATAATTTAATGAATTCCATAAATACTTGGTGGCACAGGCACCTGACGTTACTTATTTTTCTTTTAATAAAAAAAATATACACATACCGAATAATAAACAAGGTACCCATCGAAACCCGCCATCTTGGATTTTCGAAGTAGGTCATCACTTGTATTTTCGTCTGAAACTCCGTCAAATAAATTCCCTGCAACCATATTCTTTCTGTAGCCAGTCTTTCGAGGTCTAAACTTACGGACACTGCAGCCAGGAAGGCACATTACACTTGCAAATATTGAAAATCCCTCGTCAAACTCGACCTACTGCTTCAACATTCCGAGAAATCGCCAAAAGGGGGCCGGAAGTTTACATCAATATGCTAATGGGAATTCCGTATTTGTCAGTTTTGTGGTGGATCTAAAACGGGGTGTCATAATTACTTTGAAATTTTAATGAATATTTCGATTATAGAAATGAAAAAAAATGCAAAATGGGAAAAATAAAACACTTCTTATAAATATACCTGTAAAATATACTATATTAATCTATACAGGTCGTTGCGTTCGAAACAATTTTGAATAAAAGAGAGGGGGGGTGCTTAAAAAAATCAATAACAAATCATCTAGAGTTAATTGAATCGTTTTCAAAAAACAATAGACTGCAAACCATCCAGTTATATATATGTATACATATATACATGGCATATGCTTAATTGAAAAAGGAGAAGGATCACACTGAAAAAAGGATATGTAATGAAATCAAATATAAGCCTATGCGACATGTATATGTATAATCTGTCACCAAGAAAAAAATAAAAATGTCGCCATGTCACTACTTTATTGCAATACATAAAATTGCAGATCTCAACATTCCCTGGGATAATTTTAGTGTGGACCCCCCCCCCCCCCTCTCACACACGTGCGTACATACTTATAAAGTCAATCTTCTGCACGGATAGAGCTCAATCAGGTCATCAATAATGACAGTGTTATTAATTATATTTAGTGCATGTAAGTAGGGCCTTACAACCAACTCAATTTGTCTCGAAAATGTTCATTGATCAGCTAGCATGATCAGGCCGATCTTCGGCATTTACCAAATATAATCGCTTTATTAATCAAGATATATCGAAATTATTTTGAGAGAAATAAAAAGAATGTTCTTACACGTATAATTATTACGTTGTATTATTGTCTGAAATATTGTTTTTGGAATAAGTACTAACTTTCGCCGGTTATTTTTAAAAATAAATCGCACAAATATATTGACCAATCAAAAAAGGGCTTTCCCTAAGAATTTCAAGTCGTATGTAAACTTCCGGCCCCCTTTTGGCGATTTCTCGGAATGTTGAAGCAGTAGGTCGAGTTTGACGAGGGATTTTCAATATTTGCAAGTGTAATGTGCCTTCCTGGCTGCAGTGTCCGTAAGTTTAGACCTCGAAAGACTGGCTACAGAAAGAATATGGTTGCAGGGAATTTATTTGACGGAGTTTCAGACGAAAATACAAGTGATGACCTACTTCGAAAATCCAAGATGGCGGGTTTCGATGGGTACCTTGTTTATTATTCGGTATGTGTATATTTTTTTTATTAAAAGAAAAATAAGTAACGTCAGGTGCCTGTGCTTGGTGGATATTGCATCAAGAAAATTTTTTTAAAGAAATCTTTTTTCAAAATAAATATACTGTATATATTTTTTATTTTTGTTTCAGTTTTTTACTACATGACATATGAAGGAGCAGTGAATTTAGACGAGTATGTGATTTAATATAATATAGATTACCATGTATTCTTCTCCAGACTTTGCATGAAAATTAAATTTATAAATTTTATCGCTATGTATTTAAAAGGGGAAATAACTGCTAAAGGCAGGGAACCTACACCTGTGTCTATCACTCTTAATTTTTTCCTTATATTAATGAGAGAAATCATTTGCATATAAACAAGAGTGAGCAGGCAGATGATGAACTTGATAAGAACTAAAAAATACACACCTAAATTAATATGGATGCATCCTCTTGCAGTGTAGTTATGCAATAATGTCTGAAGTTATACAGTATTTAGATCTGAAGTTATACAAAAAGTGTCTGAAGTTATGCAATAAGTGTCTGAAGTTATACAATAAGTGTCTGAGGTTATACAATAACTGTCTTAAGTTATACAATAAGTGTCTAAAGTTATCCAATATTAAGGTATGAAGTTATACAATAAGGTCTTAGGTTATACAATAAGTGTCGGAGGTTATACAATAAGGTCTGAAGTTATACAGTAAAGTATGAGGTTATACGATAAGGTTTTAAGTTATACAATATGTGTCTGAAGTTATATAAAAGAAAATCAGAAGTTTGACCATCATGTGACTGATGTAGCCCATGATTCTTTTCTTTAGAATTGAGGACCCAAATGAAAGAGCCAGAATAGAGATCCAGATTATGGAATTTGGTCAGACTCCCCATCAATTGTTTGAGAAGCCACACCCTCCTCGATTCACAAAGGATAGCATCAGGCATCACAGTTCCACTACAGCATCCAGTAGTTCACAGGAGAATGAACTTCAAGGTAATTTGTTGGTGTAGGACAGAAATATTTTTCAATGTATTAGTCCTTTGAAGCAGATTTTTCTACTGTAAATTACTTTTTATTTACAATAACTTTATTTTCATATAATTACGCGAGACTGTGTTCTGGCAAAAATTTAATTCATGCATATAATAGTATTCCTTAAGATTATATAGAGCAATAACCACAATTCCTGAAAATTTTATCTTGCTAATTGAGAGTCAATGACTATATCACAAAAAAAAGGTGTTGCAAAAATTCAGTGATTTTAACGCTTCAAAGTACATGTAATTTATTTGTGTGGAAAGGTTTTATTTTCAAGGTGTATTTTGATGCATATACTCAACGGAAACAGTTTAATACAAATATAAATATTTTTTTAAGAAGGACAAGTATTAGTTTTACAAGATAAATCTATATATGTACCTTTTTAAGAATTTCTTTGCTGATAAACACATAATGTCTTCAAACGTTTGTTTGTGTGATAGGAAAGGACCATATTATTATTTTAATCAGTAATGAATGAATGAATAACCATATTGACTGGTTATTTTTTTTTTTTTCTAGATTTATCAGTGAAGGAGGATGAATCTATTCAATCTGCCGAGTCCAGTATAGTCAGTTCTGTACAGAGTTGTCTTTCTTTTGATGATATATCAGCACTTCAAATTACTCATCAATATTCACTACATAAAAGGTAATGCAAAAACTACTTTTTAGCTCACCTGAGCCAAAGGTTCAAGTGAGCTTTTCTGATCACAATTTGTCCGTTGTCTGTCGTCGTCGTTGTTGTCTTCATTGTTGTCGTCGTTGTAAACTTTTCACATTTTCAACTTCTTCTCAAGAACGCTGGGCCAATTTCAATCAAATTTGCCACAAAGCATCCTTGGGTAAAGGGGCTTTAAGTTTGATCAAATGAAGGGCCATGCGTCATTCAAGGGGAGATAATTGGGAATTAATGAAAATTTGGTGGTATCTTTTAAAAATCTTCTTCTCAAGAACCACAGTGCCAGGAAAGATGAAATTTATGGGGAAACATTGTCAGGTAGTGTAGATTAAAATTTGTTCAAATCATGACCCCCGGGGGTAGGGCTTGGCCACAATGGCCGACCAAAGTTTTACATAGAAATATATAGGAAAATTCTTTAAAAATCTTCTTCTCAAGAATAACAAAGCCATAATTGATGATATTTATATGGAAGCATCCTCAGGTAGTGTAGATTCAAATTTGTTCAAGTCATGACCCCCAGGGGTAGGGTGGGGCCACAATGGCTGACCAAAGTTTTACATAGAAATATATAGGAAAATTCTTTATAAATCTTCTTCTTAAGAATAACAAAGCCATTATTGATCATATTTAAAGGTAAGCATCCTCAGGTATTGTAGATCCAAATTTGTTCAAATCATGACCCCAGGGGGTAGGGTGGGGCCAAAATGGCCAATCAAAGTTTTACATAGACATATGTAAGAAAATTCTTTAAAAATCATCTTATCAATAATAGCAAAGCCATGATTGGTCATGGGACTACTTTTGGATATAAACTATTTAATAATAAACCAATTTTTACTTTTTCCCAGCCACAGTGCTCAGGTGAGCGATGTGACCCATGGGCCTCTTGTTTGGGGGGCGTGGATGTAAAGTATTTAGAGTATTATTTTTGAGATAAAGTTATTCATTTTAAAAACTTTTTAAAGATTTCATTAATTTTTTTTTCAGTTGCGTCACTGCTATGCAGTTGACTGAGGATGGATGCAATATATTTTCAGTTTCACAAGGTACTTTATGTTGTTATATTGTAATAATTACAACTCTGATTCTGTGAGAAATGTGAATTCATAATCTAACTACAGCTGTATTTTTTGATTTGATTTAAAGCTTAAGTGTTATACCCCCCGCAAACGAATTTTGGGGGGGTATATAGGAATCACCTTGTCCGTCTGTCTGTCTGTCTAGCTGTCCGTCTGTCCGTCTGTCTGTGCAATCCTGTCCATATCTTTCTTATGGAGGGACATTATAATCTACTACTCCACACAAAGATTGCTCATGACCTAAGGGTGTGTCATGACCTTGACCCAAGGTCATTTGGGGAAGTTCAAGGTCTCTGGAAGAAAAAGTTCATAATTCGTGTCCGGTCCATATCTTTCTTATGGATAAACTTGGTAGGTTCTCATTTCACACAAAGATTGCCCATGACCCAAGGTTGTGTCATGACCTTGACCCAAGGTCATACGGGGAAGTACAAGGTCACTGGAAGAAAAAGTTCATAATTCGTGTCCGGTCCATATCTTTTTTATGGATAAACTTGGTAGGTTCTCATTTCACTCAAAGATTGCCCATGACCCAAGGGTGTGTCATGACCTTGACCCAAGGTCATTCGGGGAAGGTCAAGGTCAATGGAAGAAAAAGTTCATAATTTGTGTCCAGTCCACATCTTTCTTATGGATAATCTTGGTAGGTTCTCATTTCACGCAAAGATTGCCCATGACCCAAGGGTGTGTCAAGACCTTGACCCAAGGTCATTTGGGGAAGTTCGAGGTCACTGGAAGAAAAAGTTCATAATTCTTTCCGGTCCATATCTTTTTTATGGATAAACTTGGTAGGTTCTCATTTCACACAAAGATTGCCCATGACCCAAGGGTATGTCATGACCTTGACCCAAGGTCATTTGGGGAATTTCAAGGTCACTGGAAGAAAAATTTCATAATTCATGTGTGATACATATAGGGTTGGACACCGGTACACGGTACCAGTACCGTACCGAATAGTTACTTCAAAAATACCGGTAAAATACCGTTTCATTTAATACCGGTACTGATAACGGTATTTCTTAATCTTTAAAACATTGTTATACATTTAAAATTATCTTTAGTTAAGATTCCAGACTCGCTAAAATGGAATTCTCATGCATTGAAAGGGTAGGCTAATTAACGAAATCAGTACTAAGTAAGATACTTCCTTTCTACAGCCGATATTCGAGGGAAACCAATGCGTATTAAAAATATTTACATTAATCTTGTTTCAGTTTTATTTATAGAAACTGATAGAAATTGTGAATTAAAAAGGCAAAACGTAGCGGATTTCTGATGTCATCTCTCTCCATTTTTCATGTTTCGTCGTTAAGTGCTACCAAGCAAAATGGCGACCGGATGAAGCGATCAGCTGTCATTTAGCAGAGAATTAGACGGCGGTGTTTGTAATTTTTTTTTGAGTTGGCTCGCGTAGCGAGCTACTCCCTGTCGACATAGCCATTTCAGAGCTGTAAAATTTTTCACGCATTCATTAAGGTGATCCATACGCCAAATATAATAGTTCTAGCAAAAAATGCTTTGGTTTGAGTGATTGTATAAACTTAAGAGGTAAAAACTGTATAAAATTTCATACTGTAACATTATTTATGCTTTCATGCTTTTAAAGACATTTTTGATTAAATACCTGTACAATGTACAATTACTGCGTATGAATATATGTTCAAGCATGTTAGGCGGATCTAATCTTCCCATCTGAAGTTTATTTATAATTGACCTAGAATACTCTCTAACACAAACACCTGCTGCTCTCATTAGCTGCAGCTAGTTGTTGTTGAAAATCTATTTTTAGAATCCAGATTTGCTGTGGGAATCTTTAACCTAATTATTCCATAACACTGACCACTTCAGCTAATGTGCTGAAATTCATTATAGAATCCAGTCAAAATAATACGGAAGCCCATTAGTGCCAACCTGTATATAAAGGAAAAGCAATATACACTTTATTTATGAACCTAACACACATGGATCAGACATATAATATTCAATCTCTTAAGATGCAAAATAAACTGAATATATTAAGGTATGGTGCCCAGATGTATGAAAAAGCTCAATTGACTCGAGCGAGTCAACTCGCAGGCCCTTCAGGCCTTTGATTATTTCATAGAGATTCAGATTAATTTGTTTTGTTGATTATTTAATTAAAGGTTGAATTATAGAAATAGAATATATTTAACACATTTTAGATTATAATATTGAAAGTTTGGTTATAAGCAGTGATAATTGAAAGCACATTTGTCATTAAAATAAACCCAGATTCTCATCCATCAAGGTATAGTACCGTACCGTTAAAAATACCGTATCGTTTCAAAAATATCGGTATGGTATCATACCGTTTCATCCTTAACGGTATCCAACCCTAAATACATATCTTTATTATGGAAAAACTTGCTTCTGAAAAAACCCAGCGGGGGGTATTTTGTCCCGTTTGGACAGTTCTAGTTATATTTGTTTAAAATGTAAAATTTGCATTTTCACCTTTTAGATACAACACTGAAAAGGTATTCACTGGAAGACCAGAGGCAGCTCAGTTTTAATGTGTCAAAAATGGTAAGAGCTCAGGTTAAATGTGTCGAAAATGGAAAGAAAAATCTGAAGGGATTTCTATATGTCAATGCGTATTTTGAATAGTTAAGCATGGGTGCTTTTAAGATCATCTCTCAACTACTTAGTTTACATAAATTTTACTACTAGTATTTAAAAAAAATGAAAGAAAAAATTAGTTATTAAAAAAAATGTTGCATAAATTTATGCTAGAGCATGACTTTGCAAGTCTTCAGCTGAAAATTCTTATTGAAATGCTTATGTACATTAGGCATCGGGAAAGATGAATTTTGTTTCTTTTTCTTTCAGGCATTATCTTCTTGTATAGTGATGCCTGATAATAGAACAATTGTTGTTGGATCTTGGGATAATTATGTGTAAGATAAAATTTTTTAGTAAATTATTATTTTTTAATTGAAATTCATTTCCAGAGAGGAAGATAATTTATCTTTCAATTTCATCATACATGTACTTATCTTTATGGACAGTAGATTCAAATATGTAAAAACATATAGTATATGATGTAAGGAACTATAGCCATGCTGCCTTAATCTTAAGTTCTAATAACCATGGTATTAAACAAGAAATTTGATTTTCTAAAAATTAATTTTTTTCATTTTTTTTTAATGTGGAATCACCAATTTAAAAGTAAATGCTTTATTTTTACTCTTGTGTTTAGATATTTCTACAGTGTAGAATTTGGACGTACTTTTGACACTTTAAAAGCACATGATGATGCAGGTAAACATTTATTATTTACAGATATACTATTTAATATGTATTCCAGTTTAAAGAAAAAAATCTACTACCTTAAATTTGTATAAACATTTTATATCGTAATTACACATGTACACCAACTATTAATATTTAGATGTCTTCTTTGAATGGTGTGATACATGTAACACGTAACATTTCATTTTAGATTATTGTTTTCCAAAATTGTTTGCCTGTTTATCCACAAAACCTTGCCCATAACTTTAAATTAACTGGGGCTAAGTCTTTCATATGTTTGTATTTCTTACATTATACAACAAGACCTTACCTAATGTTCCAACATATCCTATCTCTTAATCTTGACCCCTGGAGTTTGACTACTTTCGAAAATCTGTATATAACTTTTGAACAGCTGGTGCTAGGGTTTTCACACTTCACACTCACTCTTTGTGAGGTATACTTCTTGTGATTAGACCGCGCTTGGGTACAGACAGTTTTGATCTTGACATTGTAGTTTGATAATACTTTTGAAAAATTTTAATGTTGGCCATAAATGGTAGGAATTAGTGCTTTGATATTTCATATTTTTATTTTTGTGACAAGACCATCCCATAGGTACACATGTACTAAGAATTTTGACCTTGACCTTGCAGTTTGACTTACTTTTAAAATATTTTAATCTTGCATGGCCATAATTTTTGACTGATTGGTGCTAGGGCTTTCATATTACACAAATTTGGCAAGATATGTCTTTGGAAACCAACAATTTTGGCATTTTTGACCTTAACCTTAGACTTTCACTGATTTTTGAAAAGTTAAACTTTGGCCATAATTTTAGAATAGTTGTAGCAAGGGCTTTCATATTTCACTGGTGTTATCCTTGAGACAAGAATTTTCTTTGGGAACAGACTTTTTTATCTCTTGACCTTGAACTTTGAATTTGCCTTGCATTTGAAAAACTTGAAATTCACTGTGAGCTGCTATATGGATCTATAGATTAGTATATATATATTAGTGTTTTACAAACACAGCTTGTTTTTTTCTTAATTTTTATATGTATTTAAGAATTCTGTTTAAAAACAAATGTAACAACATTGTTTAAACATGTCTATGTTTTGCAGTTTCTTCTGTTGTCTGGAAGAATAACAATCTTATAACAGCATCCTGGGACTCAACTGCAAAGGTGACTACATTGCTACAGTGTATGCAAGATTGAAATGAAATTATTTGATTTAAAATACTTGAGGAAAGGAGAGATAGAGAGAGGGTGGGAATCAAGATAAAGAATGGGTTACAGAATTAAAATATCACTCTAATGACTGAAGAGTCATTGTTTAGTGTGGATAATAACCACAGTTTTACACAACACAAAAAAGAACAAAATATGAGTCGATTCTCTTGAGACATGCATGAATTCATTTCCAGCTTAGAACCCCTCTCTGTAGCTGGATGGAAAAAGAGAGACATATAATGTGAGACATATAATGTTAGACATGTAATGATCCATTTCTGCATCTACAGGTATGGGAGTTCAATCCACCAAAGGAACCACACGATTTTAAGGCAGCTGTTTTTCGAGTAGGTACCCTAGTGTTTGTTTATACATGTACCTCAAAATTTTTTATGTTCAGTTCTTCACTTTTCTCTGACGTCCTTTTCTCTAAATTAAATTTTTTTTTTCTATCCAGGGACAACTGGATCTTGATTCTGGAGTTTCTTGCCAAGACATTGATGAAACCGGTTCTCTTCTGGTGACTGGAACTGAAGAAGGACATGTGGTAATTTGGGACATCAAATCTCTCTGTCCTATTGCAGAAATGGAAGGTACAGTTCTAAGGAGTTACCTTATTCGGAATATTCCTCATCAGTTTTCTGTGTGCTTAAGAACTAATTTTGTTCTCTAAATTTAAGTTCCTTATTCTTAGATATTCTGTTTCCATCTGAATGCATTTTTTCTTTCTCTCTCTCTCTCCTAGAAGTTCATAGTGGCACAGTCAATTCACTCGCATTTACTTCTGGTAAGTTTTATGGATGATTAGTTTTCAATTATACATATTTCATTTAACTGATCAACTACAGATTTATCAATAAAGTGGATATTCAGTTGTCACAATTATTATTCCCTTGTGCTAGGATGAGAATTTAATAATTTTTCAAAGAAATAAATAGTCATACTACAAAAAGCATTGTGCTGTTACTGTTTACAGATAGTAGAAGACTGATTTCATGTGGAGCAGACTCAGTGCTGAAAATCCTAGATGTGGAGACACAGACAGAAGTATTTGTCAAGAATTTAGGACATCAGATTCTGTAAGAATCATCAAAAGTATCACACTTTATATTTTCTTATGACAGCTAGATAATTGTCCTGAAGTGATCAATTTACTTCTATAAAGTTCATAAATATTTCTTGTAAGAAATCCTGTTTATTGGAATAGGATTTTAAATATATGTAAAGACAGGCAGAGTTCTGAATTATGTTTTTAGCTCACCTCAACGAAGTTGAGGGAGCTTATGTAATACCCTCGGCGTCGGCGTCCCAGGTTAAGGTTAAGTTTTTTGGAGCAGTTTTCTTTTTAAGTACTTCTATGTCCTATATTGATTAGACAGCATGGAAGATGCATATAATGTGTTTCATTGTACAAGTCAAAGTTTCAGATGCTGCAATTTCAGCAAAGGAATGACCAGGTTAATGTTTTTGGAGCAGGTTAATATTTTTGGTGCAGTTTTTGGTGTAGGTCTCATTTCCAAGGAACTATATGACCTATGTTGACCAAACTTGCATGGATGGTACATCTAAGGATGTACACTACCAGACTTGCTTCGGATGCTGAATCTGACCTACATTTTCCAGTTGAGTGAACAGGTTAATGTTTTTGGTGCAGGTCTCATTTCTGAGTTACTAGAAGTCTTATGTTGACCAAACTTTCATTGATGATACATCTAAGAATGTACACTACCAGACTTGCTTCAGATGCTGAATCTGACCTACATTTTCCGGTTGCGTGAACAGGTTAATGTTTTTGGTGCAGGTCTCATTTCCAAGGAACTATTAAGTCCTATGTAATGTTGACCAAACTTGCATGGATGATACATCTTAGGATGCATACTACCAGACTTGCTTCGGATGCTGAATCTGACCTACATTTTCTGGATGAGTGAACAGGTTAAATTGTTTGGGGCAGGTTTCATTTCCAAGTTACAATAAACCTATAATGACTAAACTTGCATGGATGATACATCTTAGGATGCATACTACCAGACTTGCTTCGGATTCTAAATCAGACCTACATTTTCTGGATGAGTGAACAGGTTAAATTTTTTGATGCAGGATTCATTTCCAAGTAACTATGAGCTCTTTAATGACCAAACTTGCATGGATGATACATCTAAGGTTGCATTCTACCAGGCTGGCTTCAGATGCTGAATCTGACCTACATTTTTTTCTGGATGAGTGAAGAGGTGAAATTTTTATGCAGGTTTCATTTCTAAGTAACTATTAGCCCTATGTTGTGCAAACTCGCATGGATGATACATCTTAGAATGCATACTAATGGACTTGCTACGGATGCTGAATTCGACATACATTTTCCAGATAATGGACCAGGTAAAAGTTATGGGTGCAGGTCTATCACCAAAAAACTATAAGGCTTAAAATGATGCATCAAGGGATGAAAACTCTTAAACTTACTTCAGATGCTGGATTTTGATCACATTTTTGTGATGAAGAACTAGTGTGAAGTTTTTATATAGGTCTATTCCAAAGTATCAGATCAAAATTGCATAAATTTTGCATTTTTGGATTTACACTTTTTGTTGGGTAATTGTGTGACTTTGCCTTACTTAAAGACAACATTCGTTGAGGTGAGCTCTGTAATCTCTGATTACCTATGTTTGATTCTGCCAGATACTAAATCCGTCTTCAATGTGTTGCGCAATTATTTCACATACAGGTGACTTTTTCTATTTCATTACTTTCTATGAATTTCCTATTTCTTTTTTCTATAGTTGTTTGGCCTGTTTGGAAAGTCTGATACTATGTGGGACAGAGAATGGAGAACTAGAAATTTGGGACATTGAGAAAGCCAGTGTATTGTCAGCAATTAAAGGGCATAATGGTAAGATGATGTTAAATTGAAAGCAACATATTCAAGATTATGCACTCTTTATAAATTACAAATAAAGTACTAATACCATTAATTACCAATAAATAATTATATCTCTATAAAGACTGTTATTTCCATCAGTTAAAAGTAGGAAATCATGAATCTTACAAAAAAGGATCAGATTCTTTGCCTGTTTATACTACGGGAATCATAAGATGCACATTAAGTTGCATTAGAAAATGCTATTACTGTGAAATCACTAATTTTCGTGGGGGGTTAATTTTTGTTGTTCTTGAGGTGTTGAGAGACCCACGAATTCATTACCATCACGAAATGTAAAATTTCATATGGATTACTGCTAAACATTTTCCAACCAAGAATTCAAATCCCCACAAACCAAAAATTTTTCTTCAAACCTCGAAAATTTGACACCACAAAAATATATAATTTTACAGTATCCCCCTCCTGACAATGAAATGATATATTTGACTTTTTTTCTGAAATGAACATGAGGAGAGGAGGAAGAAATGCATTTATAGCCTACCATATGATCATTAAAACAATTTGATGTGAGAAATGGATCAGACTGATTAAAATCAAACTTTCTCTAGCTCCTTTTTATTCTATTGCATGAAAGTTAGAAGAAACTAATTTTGAGGTCTTGTGATTTTCAGCTTTCAGGATTCTGAAAATGAAGCTACAATCAAAATGAAAGGAAGCTAGTGAAAGTTTGGTTTGACTATAATATTTGTTTTTTTTCCCCTCACTAAATTTTTTCAATATTTTTGTTGTAGAGCCAGTGACCTGTATTGAGGTGGGAAGGAGGTGTGTGCTAACGGGGGACAAAGGGGGAAGCATCAGTGTGTGGAAACCTGGCTGACCCAAAGAATGTTAATATGTTACAAGAACGTCATGTGCATAAAATATAGAACAATTCTTTCAGTAACACTGAATGTAACATATTTATTTAATTTAGTACATTAGTTTTCAAGTATTACATTATATGTGTTGCAACCAAAAGACATTACGGAAGGATGGACAAAACCTTAGAATAGATCAAGTAATGCATGTAATTGTGAAATATTATCAGTACAGTACTAATTTGTAAAGTTATTAAAAAAACATTCCACCAGGAATAAATATTAAATAAGTTTTAAAAGAAACACAATATGGATAAGTTTTCATATTTTCCATTGTAATGTGTTGAGGAAGTATTGTATACCTTAACTGTACATGTCTATATATGAACATTGATCATTTTAAATTATTTTCAAATTGTTATAGAAATATTTTACGTTTTGTTATCTGTTAAAGTGATACATGTACCTTTGATTGTTGAATCTAGTCTGAGATTAAAAATACTGTTAGCCTTCAGTAGTTAATCCATAAGATATGCTCTTCATCTGTTATTCATAAAGTGTACATTTTCTACAAGATGACAGTTTTTTTTCCATATAATATGATTGTATATAGATATATTATGAAGAAACACATTCCGAAAAAATTAAATCACTATCAAGATAAAACATTTTTGAAAAATAAATCATTTATTCTTGTATAGTTATGGAATCCTTAATTCAGTTCTTATTGCTCATATTATGATTTAGATGAACAGTAAAGGATTCAAAAGGAATAAAAGAGGTGTTTTGTCCTACCTTAAGTTCATCAAAATATGAGGTGGAAATCTTGTGCTAGGAAAGAATAATACACAAATTGTTTGTACTTTTATGCTTTTGTTATACTGCCTCCACACTAAGTCTTTTTACAGCACATTTTTTTTTTTTGGGGGGGGGGGATGATGTCGCAGCTGTATAATAGGACCTCTCTGTGTCGACAAAGTGAATACAATGTGCAAGATGCTGTTACATGTATACAGCCGACAACATTTGCATTTTAGTTCTATTGTGGTTCAAAGATCCTGAAAGCTGTGTTGATGTGGAAAGTTGAATAACACACATTATTGGGAGACAAAATGGGAAAAAATTAAATGATGAATTGTGATATTTTTACAATAATTTAACAGGCTTATTTTTTTTTATTAAAGAGTCGAATCTGAATAGATTTTTGTGTTCCTAGTCACAGGTACAGTGTACTTGGTTCCGTTATAATTTTTTTAATCCAAAGTACATTGATATTATATTATGGGTTAAAAAATTACTACAGAAGGGGTCCGTACAGTGTATTTCAAAATTATTGAAAGAATATGTAGCGGCTATAATTGCGTTTTCTATTACACCGTGACACTGTTTGGTCTTTGTATAATGGGTTGAAGATTGTTGCAGAATGATGGATTTTACATAAAATAAAATTTACGAGGGCATATATTTTAGAAAGTATTCATTCTTGCAAATACGAAAATAAACATAAGTAATGACGTCACAATGTGTAAAGAAAAGTGATTGTGACGTCACAATGTGATGACGTTGATTCGGCCGTAACGTTGTGGCAACACATCTGTTTGCATCAAGATATATTCTCAAATTGTAATGAAGCGATCAAGTGAACAATCGGAGCATCTTTACGCAACAAAGAAGGTAAATTTTCAAATATATTTTTTAAACGTAATGCCCTCTTTGAGTTTCAATCTGAATCGGGAGAAGGCTACAATTTTTATAAAGGTTGAAACCGTCGTGATTTTTATCTTTACACGAAATAAAAAAGCAATGGATTTTTTGAAACAGATTTTTTTATTCTGTTTTTTCCCCCTTTTCAGTGACGTGACAATTATTTTCTAAAAATTAATTATGTTTTTAGGCAAGAGTACTTGTTGGCTATGGAAGATCGATTGAGTCGGTGAGTATTCGTACCTTGTACAATGATAAAAATCGTAAATCAATTAATCAAATTTGTAACACTTATAGTATCTCTTAATTTTATAGTTTATTAATTGATACACCTATTTATATATTTCAGTATTTTACCAAATGAATATTTTCATGTTTATAGATTTTTTTTTAAAAGTTCCTCTTGAATCAATTAAAAGCTTGTTGCTTTGCAGTTAAATTTATATAGTACAACGTCAATTTCACATACTATTGGTAGATGATAAAAAAAGCGGGTTGAAAAACAAGAGGCCCAGGGGCCATATCGCTCACCTGAGCAACTGGCTATTAGAAGTAAACGCAAAAATCAGTTCACCATTAAAAAGTTTAAATATAAAATTTTGCTCAGAGGGGGGGGGGGGGGGGGCTGAACAAACTTAAATGTATACTTCCTACAGATGCTTTTTAAGGAGATGTGGGGGGGGGGTTAAGGCGGTCGAAGTGCCTATAGTGCGACAGACATGAAGTGAAAAATTAAATCTCAATTACATCCAAAGGAGTATTCCACTTAAGCATAGTAGCTTGATCCCTTTTTTCGCCCTTATTTTACAGAATATACATGAGGATACGGAATTATTTTTATTTTCATGATGTATAGCATAGTATTTCTAATTAAAATGTTGTGCAACCATTATCAATAACTTTTAATATCAAGAAATAGAAGCCAAATTAAGGGACGTAGCAACGGGGGGGGGGGGGGGGCTGCCCCCCCCCCCCCCTTTTTTTTGCCAACAATACCTTAACTATTGAAAATGTTCATTGAAAGGCTGGTTGGCCACCCACTTTATACTAAAGGAAAGTAATATGAAGGAAATATAGTATTATAAGCTTTAAAAAATGGATATTGAAAGGAATTGGTAGTGAGAAAAGTTTGCCTCTAGGGGGTGAGAAAAAATAGACAAGAATAGATACATACACAAAAGTTTGATAAAGCGAAAGAAAAAGAGGAACTCAGTTTCCAAACTCGAAAAAAATCGATTATGTAGGAGTGGGAGTCAAACTTTTACTCACTTTGATTAGAAAAAAATTAACTCTTACATTAACGTGTATTTATTCATATCGTAAAAGCGTAAAGGCGTAACAGATTTTTTTAGGGGGGGGGGAGGACAAGGTGTCACCCCTCCCCCTTATACTACCTTCCTGACACGTTATGTATTTCTGAATTTCGCACTAAATGCTGTAATAAATATTCTGATTTACTTATCGATAATTGATCAATACATGACGTGTACAAATACATATTTATACACTTCAAATACAGTTGATGGAATAATAAAACATTATTATTATATTTCACACGAATTCTCTCTGTCTCATAATAAAGTTCACAAGATTTGGAGATGAAATCCAAATTCAGTAATCATTTTCTTTGTTGCATTCTGCTAACACATTCGAATATTTTTTCCGAGTTTATATGAGTCCAACACGTGGATAGAGTGTGAAGTTTCTTTGGATATTCAAGTGGTTACTTAGTATAGTGTACATTTATTTGTTTTGATTAAATGTGAAGAAATTGTAACTTCTTTGAAATCGTTTGCGTTTTTTTTTTCGCAAGAAAATGTTTAAATGTGTATTTATATAAATCTACTACTATATTGATTCGTGTGCTCTCCGCAATGACAATGCTTAGGAAAATTGCGATTAAACGCATAAGAATTAAATTATGTCCCGGAGAATCATCAAATCCCACGGTCTAACATAAATAATATTCATCGAAGTCTAGTGAGAACTTTGTTTTAAATTTTTAAAAATGAAAGTGGTTGATTGTAGTTTTCAAATACAAGCTACATGTGTTGCTTCAGAAAGTAAACACGCCTTCCAGAGGTATTCAACTGTGACGGTATGGATTCACGTGACATATTATCCATTCCTAGTAGGTCAACAAGACGTTAATTCTATGTAAATGTACTCACCAAACAGATTTAGAATCATGATACTTTTAAGTAGAAAACATAGAGCGCAAGGTTGTTCAACAAAGATATTTTCACACAACCTTTATAAATATAATATACACATTATATTTCGATCTCAACTTTGAACAAACTTGCACTCGATGTCTACGAAAGCTGTGAAGTGGGTACCTGTCACAAATTTCTTTTGATATTCATGAAAATCAAAGGACCCCACCTTCACAACACAGCTTCGCGTGTCGTCTATTGCAATTATTTGATATTTTTAAACCCTGGCACATATACTGCAGACATAAGAGAATAATATTATAATAATGTAATTTTTAAGGTTTTTAATGAAAGTTAAAAAATTGACGAGTAACCGGGGACCATAGATAATGGCTTATTGAGACTTGTTCTTTTATTTGATACTAGTATTTCCTCTAATATTAAAATATGCTTAATTTAAAATCTCTACAATTAACAAAAATCTCACAAAGACTGAAATTATTTGCGTACTTAAAAACATGCACACATTAAAATGGACAAAAAGGATCATTTTCTCATACTCTTACATTTTTCAATATTAGTGGGTCTTCTCTCCATTTTTTTTAAAGATAATCCTAAAAGTTTGCAATAAAATATACATTTTTTGTTTTACAAAAATATGAAGCAAGGACCCACTAAACCTTAAAAGTTAACTTTTATGACACAACATTTGCGTCTTTCCAAGAAATACTTCAAGTCCATTAAGTCAAGGATCACAAACATGATTTAAATTTCTCAATTCCTCGATTTGTGTAACGTAGCGGAGAGCGTGAACTAGTCTCAAAGCAACATAATACTCGGGATTTTTATTGCTAGAGTTCGAATCCCACGAATACTACCATAAAAGAATACTTTTTTCCCGATTTTTTCTCTCGGAAAATTCTTGTTTCTCATAATTTCATAAATTTCAATAATGCGAGGTTAATCTAAAATACTTCATTCACAAAGTGAATATGTTTACTTTATATCTGAAGCTATAGGCATTCTGCACGCCTTGTTCCCCCTCTTCATAATATGATACGTATTATAAGATGATTATTTTTTTATTTATATAGCCTTTATATTCCTTTGTATATAACTCTGATCCACTTTAATGGCTCCTATATCTCATGGATCTACAATACCTTTTTTTATGCTTTTACGGTATATTGATTATCAATCGTTGCTTTGTCGTTCTTGTAAAGAAATTTAACAATTTTTCCTAATATGTATTCCTATGTAAAACATTGATCACTGGGGGATTTAAGGAGAGCGCTCGCCCCCTTCCTAAAATTTTCAAAGTATGATATGACTAAATTTAATAATGCCATACCTTGGTACATAACTAACCAAATACCACTATTATTGTGCCTGGTTTTAATCTTAAGATACACGAAAACCCCCTGGGCCCCCACAATTCAAAGTATAATATGACTAGTATTAATAATGCCACACTTTCGTACATGTACATAACTATTTACTAACCAATGCCACTATTAGTAAGTTAGTAATGAAGTAAGAAAATCGTTTATTATAGAGATATGATTTGAACAAACTTGAATCTACAAAACCCAAGGATGCTTCCACATGAGTTTTACCTTTCTTGGCCTTGTGATTTTTGAGAAGATTTTAAAATATTTTCCCTATATATTCCATGTAAAACATGTAAAAATGTACATGTACATGTAAAAGTTTGAACCCCCCCCCCCATTTTGTCCCCACCCTACCCACTGGGGTCTTGATTTGAACAAACTTGAATCTACACTACCTGAGGATGCTTCTACATGAGTTTCATCTTTCCTGGCCCAGTGGTTCTTGAGAAGAAAATTTTTAAAAGATGACATCAATTTTCCACTTATTCATTGTTATCTCCCATTAGAAGAGGACATGGCCCTTCATTTGAACAAACTTAAAACCCCTTCACATAATGATACTTTGTGGCAAGTTTTGTTGAAATTGGCCCAGTGGTTCTCGACAGGAAGATGAAAATGTGAAAAGTTCACAACAACGACGACAGAAAACGGACAAATTTTGATCAGAAAAGCTCACTTGAGCCTTCGGCTCAGGTGAGATAAAATGTATAGTGGGGGAGGCGAATTTCACTGTTTGACTTATTCTTAATTTTTCAGATGGACATTGACCAAGACAAATTTTGGAATACGAAAAAACTGACCAGACCACCACCTCTGACAGCGGTAAGAAAATGTTTGCTCTGTTGAAAGCTTAGGCGTCGGAGCCGGAAGGTGGGGAGGGAGGGGGTTGGCCCCCAGTTTTTTTTAAAGCAAAGATAGAAATAATAAAGGCATTGAAAATTGAGGTTTAGACTCCAACCTTTTTTGTTGGCTTTGCCCTCCCCTTCCAATTTGCTTCCAACACCCATTAAAGGTGTTAATGTTTTGCTGCATAAGATGTGCGATCATATCAGTAGAAATAAAACATTTTATGCGGGTATATTCAACTTATATCAAAGGCCATGGATAATGTAACCACGTTAATACAATAATTATGGAAAGCCACAGGGGACCCCCAGGGTCAGGGTCTATATATTCTATAGTTTTAACCCTGGCCACCCTTGATTTCTACCCTGGCCTACCCATGTTTGAAGCCATAAGGGACTCCCAGGGTCAGGGTCTATATATTCTATAGTTTTAACCCTGGCCACCCTTGATGTACACCCTGGCTGTCCACCCTGGCCTTCCCATATATGTAATCTATAGTTTTAACCCTGGCCACCCATGATGTACACCCTGGTATTCCACCCTGGCCTTCCCATGCTTGCATCTTGGACCTCCCAGGGTCAGGGTCTATGTAATCTATAGTTTTAACCCTGGCCACCCATGATGTACACCCTGGGTGTACATCATGGATGGTCAGGGTTAAAACTATAGATCTATTACATATGTGGACCCTGACCCTGGGAGGTCCAGGATGCAAGCATGGGAAGGTTAGGGTGGACGGCCAGGGTTAAAACTATAGATAACATAGACCCTGACCCTGGGAGGTCCAGGATGCAAGCATGGGAAGGCCAGGGTAGAGATCAAGGGTGGTCAGGGTTAAAACTATAGAATATATAGACCCTGACCCTGGGGGTCCCCTGTATATAAATGGGAATTTCAAACCTTTATTTGAACGGTTTCTTGTCAATGTACATGTCTCAGTATACTCAACCATATTAATGATTAACCAAGTCATACTAGAAACAAGATTTGGTATGCATTAACATAATAATGTCCTTTTTTCGACTCTAGGTGAGAGGAAAGACCAAAAGAGGAAAGAGGTCCCAGCCTCAATCACTAGAAATTAGTTCGTGGGTTTTAAAGCGAGAGTGTCCCCACACAGAGGAAAATAAATCCGCATTTAAAAAGGTAATATTGAAGTAAATATATCTTTCCAAACAAGGTTTTATTGTCCAATTTTGGGCCCAGGGGGCATAAAAGTTTTTTTTACAATGATTAGATAGATCTGAAAGAGAGGTTACATACACATTAACACACACGCACACATTGTATACAATAATCCATACAAGTAACTGTAGATGCAGCAGTTGGGGTTATTAAATTGCTATTTTTAAAACATGTGATCCAATACATGGATTATGAATATATGTCAGTATTCAAATAATTATGTGTAATTTTATGTCATACACGTATATCATCGATAATGATACTATTTGTTGATTTTTTATTATTTTTAAGATATAATTTTTATGTGAATATTCTTTTCAGGCTAAACACACAAATGGGTTAGGAAGGTGTGTAGAGACGGTAAGACGTGTTAAATACTAAATCAAATAAAGAAGAGACTGAAAGGATCCCATTTTGTGTATTTCTAAATATTATTGATAAGAAAGTTTGCCAAGATCCCAACACTGTTCCTAAGACTATTTTATTTATTCTACAGATGGATGTTGACGCAGAGCTCACTTTTCTTTTTCGTTTTCTCTATTTAGTGTAAAACATTTTCCAACTTAAATTTAAAGTACATGTATATGGCAGCATCAATGACTATTACAAATCTCTTATTTGTCTATTATTTAAATTGATTTATTATTGATTTTGATTAATTTTATTCTGTATATATTAAAATAATGATAGTCTTACTTTCTCATTTATATTTCCTATTTAAAACTTATTAAATTACCTTCGATATTAAAAATCCAAGTGAAGTATACCCTTTCGCATTTCGTCAAGATCTTTCTTGATAGATGCGCCCAGCGTAAAGAATTCATGCCTCATGCAGATACATGTGCAAGTGACTGATCAACTCATTTTTTTTCAACATTTACACGGAAATTGTCTGTTGTATGAGCAACCAGTCAGGGATAAGGAGAAATTACCGGTCATTAATCATGCAGTTAGAAGGCCAGTACTATTTACATTTGAGCGCACCTGTCAACCTAGGTTGTGACGTAATGCAAAATGGTACACTTCACTGGAATTGATAATAGAAAAAAGCGTCGAACAATAGAAGCGGTTTAGTGACTATTAAGGGGGCTCTCTACAACGTCACAACATGGCGTACTTCCGTTGAAACACCATTTTGGTCCAGGGACGTAGCAACCGGGGGGGCCAGGGGGGGCCTGGCCCCTCCACTTTTTTCCCCAACATTACCTTTACTATAGTAAATGTTCATTGAAAGGATGGTTGGCCCCCCCCACTTTATACCATAGTATAGTGAAATCAAGGACTGTAGGGAAAAGATTGGAAGTGGTAGTAAGTTAGTTCCGAAAAAGTTGCCCCCCCCCCCCTACGAAATAGGATTTTCGAGTTTGGGCAACTTTTAATTTTCGTTTCTTTTTCTTTTTTTTTTTTTTTTTGCTTGTCAACTTTTTCAGGTAAGTAAAAAAAAATTTTCTCTGGTTGGCCCCCCCCCCCCACTTTCAAAAACGATGCTACGTGCCTGTGGTCCCAAATGATCTGATTGAAATTCACTTAACACTGATAAATCACTGAGTATAACACAACATGCGATATTGTGGATGAAATGTACATTGTATCGCCTCAATTAATACAGTGTATTGCCCAATACGTATCGTTTCCTTAACCAGAAGTCTCTGTCGAGACTGAAGCTCTACTGGTTTGTACTTATAGCAAAGGAAGAGAAAAGTACTTAAGCAGTTGAAAATTGAAACTTTTCAACAGATAAATAGAATAATTATCCTTGATTAAGTCTCTTTATGTTCTTAGTGCAGTCTACTTGCATGCAACATTTATATTATAATCAGACTAAAATTGTATTTGGAGTAGCATTTTGAAAGAATTTCACAGAAATTTCTATTATTAGTAACCACGGCAACACCGTTCATCGAAATCAAAAACCGCTACATAGAATTATGTATCTTAGTGTAGTCTACTTGTGTGCCAAGTTATATTGAAATCAGACTAAAACTGTAGAAGGAGTAGCATTTTGAAAGAATTTCACAGAAATTTCTATTTTTAGTAACCACGGCAACACCGTTCATCGAAATCAAAAACCAATACATAGAATTGTGTATCTTAATGTAGTCTACTTGTGTGCCAAGTTATACTGAAATCAGTCTAAAACTGTAGGAGAAGTAGCATTTTGAAAGAATTTCACAGAAATTTCTATTTTTAGTAACAACTGCAACACCGTTCATCAAAATCAAAAACCGATACACTATTCTATGTATGTTAGTGTAGACTACTTGTGTGCCAAGTTATATTGAAATCAGACTAAAACTGTAGGAAGAGTAGCATTTTGAAAGAATTTCACAGAATTTTCTATTTTTAGTAACCACGGCAACACCGTTCATCGAAATCAAAAACTGATATACAGAATTATGTATCTTAGTGTAGTCTACTTGTGTGCCAAGTTATACTGAAATCAGACTAAAACTGTAGAAGGAGTAGCATTTTGAAAGAATTTCACAGAAATTTCTATTTTTAGTAACCACGGCAACACCGTTCATCGAAATCAAAAACCGATACACAGAATTGTGTATCTTAGTGTAGTCTACTTGTGTGCCAAGTTATATTGTAATCAGACTAAAATTGTAGGAGGAGTAGCATTTTGAAAGAATTTCACAGAATTTTCTATTTTTAGTAACCACGGCAACACCGTTCATCGAAATCAAAAACCGATACACAGAATTGTGTATAGTGTAGACTACTTGTGTGCCAAGTTATATTGTAATCAGACTAAAACTGTAGGAAGAGTAGCATTTTGAAAGAATTTCACAGAATTTTGTATTTTTAGTAACCACGGCCACACCGTTCATCGAAATCAAAAACTGATACACAGAATTATGTATCTTAGTGTAGTCTACTTGTGTGCCAAGTTATACTGAAATCAGACTAAAACTGTAGAAGGAGTAGCATTTTGAAAGAATTTCACAGAAATTTCTATTTTTAGTAACCACGGCAACACCGTTCATCGAAATCAAAAACCGATACACAGAATTGTGTATCTTAGTGTAGTCTACTTGTGTGCCAAGTTATATTGTAATCAGACTAAAATTGTAGGAGGAGTAGCATTTTGAAAGAATTTCACAGAAATTTCTATTTATAGTAACCATGGCAACACCGTTCATCGAAATCAAAAACTGATACACAGAATTATGTATCTTAGTGTAGTCTACTTGTGTGCCAAGTTATATTGAAATTGGACCAAAACTGTAGGAGGAGTAGCATTTTGAAAAATTGTTTACAGACAGACAGACGGACAGACAGACAGACAGACGGACGGACGGACGGACGCATTACTATCGCATAAGCTCTTCTGGTCTCTGACCAGTAGAGCTAAAAATGAATTGTTTGTCAATTCATTAAATTTCTACTTATTTAATAATTAAAGCAGTATGAGCTGGATGTTTGACATCGGAAAATTTTGTTGCAAAGTTGTAATTAACTATTTCAATGACAGAAAAATAGAACATTGATAAACTTCTGCTGTTCATATTTGCGATGGAAGAGCTCTTTATCGGCTTTTATTGAAGCAAAATTGCATTATTGTCGTCCTGTACAATAATGATTTCTTATATGATACTGTATATTCGATTGTACATAAACATTTCTTCTGAAACATGTTTAAACTTTATTTTGGTTTTATTGGTCATAAGGGTTTAAATTACTAGTACATTCAACTTAATCATAATAACACAATTTAGCAGCAAAATAAAATTCTCAAAAATGCAGCTCATATTGCTTAAAATAATATATTTACAAACTTATTAGAATAAGAT